GAAGATTAGCAGATAAGCTGTCGATTCATTAAATGATAAGTTATTTCCTCTAAAAAGCTGTTTGTTCAGCGTAGTGAAGCCTCTTCTCCATTGACATCATTTAAAAAAACGGCCTCTGGTCTCCTTTCCCACGTACTGCCAGACTGGAAGCGTTAGCTTTAGCCGTTACGCTTTTTCGGCTAATGGTTGCAGGCGTGCCTTCTAGTGGCTTTGACTAAAATAAAAGGCGCAGAACGATCGGTGTATGACATCAAAGTACCGCGAGAGCCATAATAGAGCAGATGACTGGTTGTGGCTAGAAGGGATACAGCAAAAACCGGAAGCTAACAATAAATTGAATTTTCTACCTATTAGATTGTGTTTTATTAACGTCTACACCTACCCCAACCCTAAACCTACCCCTTATAATAATGTAAAAATAGTAATTATTGTTGTACAGTTTGAGAAAAATTATGATATATTGATGTGCGCATCCCCAGTAGTTTTTGCTGTATGCCATCTAGCCTTAACTCAGGCGACTCTTTAAACTTTTTTTGAAGCGCTCTCGCAGTACTTTGATGGCATGAGCCGATCGATGCATCTCGAACAAGCCTATTGTCTGCAGCAGCTTCCGGTTCACGCGGACTTTAAAGTGCCCCTATTATGCCTTTTCGAATATTACCTTTCATGCAGTGTGTCATGTAGTTGTATGTGAACATAAACTATCTGCAAAGTTGTGAAGCCGACAGTGCACAATAAATAAAGTTACTGTCTATCAAACAAAAAAAAAAAGAGTCGGCTTGCAATCGCCTAAACGAGTCGTCAGGGATTCGAATCTTAAGCCCCGTTCACACCAAGAACAATAGCTATAAAGATAACTATAAAGATAAGGATATTAGCGTCCACACCAGCGAACTATATGGTCTGTTTATTCCAAGCACACGTACATCTGCCGCTTTAAATTCTCGAGCTCGTTATAGCAGGATGGATTCTGATTGGCTGTCAATGTTTGTATCATTCATCAGCTGGAAAAAAATCATTCTGGAAGTGATGCCAAGGATATAATTTCTCTGTGCCTTTATCGTTATAGTTGTTGTGTGGACTCTGCTATTCTTTAATATTGAGAACGATTTTTAGAACTTTATCGTTATCTTTATAGTTATCGTGCTTGGTGTGAACGGGCCTTTATTCTGTTACGGCTCTACGTCACGAAGTAACACATTTGCATGATGTCTGCCCACGTTCTACGTCGCCAACTTGCCCGCCCACAAACAGTAAAATTTCTGTGTGGTTAACATCATGTCAAGAACACCCTATATCCTACGCTGTGAGAGTAAATTTGTTTTATCACATCTTATAATTACCACAAGCTTGTTAACACTTGACACTTACCACTGAGAAAAGTCCTGCTCCAGTCGTGCTTGCGAATCAGTCTCTTGCCTGTCAGCCAGTTCAACCGTTTCATCATCAGACTTCGACTCGAATTGGTAAGGTACAATTGATACCATCTTTCCTATGTATTGACAAGTCTATTGAAGGGCTATAATTCCGTCATGACAATGGGCGTTTCGTTACTGACACGTGCTGTACGCTGTAGACCAATCCAGAGCCAATCTCTCTACGGCTCTGGACCAATCACAAAGGACTGCGCCATCTGACCAATCACAGCAGTGAGGGCTCACGGAAAGGAGGGGTTTAGAGAGACTGATTCTTTGAACTGCTTCGCATGAGTCGTTTACGAATAATTTAGAAATGAGGTAAAATTAAATCTATTTTTTGAGAAAACTAACACGTTTTTGACCTTGCATGCATGTAAACCTGTTTTAGGAGACTCATAAAACAATATAAGCAACCTTAAAAATGGCATAATAGGGGCACTTAAAAGCCCAGAACTGCTTTGAACTAATCGTTTCGAAATAATTGAAAAATGATTCTAATATTAAATGTATATTCTGAGAAAATGACAATGTTTTCTGATCTTAGATGCATTTAAACTTCTTGTAGTGGACTCCAACACAATATTAGGACACTTTAAAATACACTCATAAAAATAAATGTGCTTCACGATTCCATAGAAGAACCTTTTTGTCTAAATGGTTCCGTAAAGAACCTTTAACATCTGAATAACCTTTCTGTTTCACAAAAGGTTCTTTGTGGTGAAAGACGGTTCTTCAGATTACAAAAAGGGTAAGAAAGAGATGGTTCTTTAAAGAACCTTTGACTGAATGGTTCTATGTGGAACCAAAAATGGTTCTTCAATGGCATCGCTTAAAGAACCTTTTGAAGCACCTTTATTTTTAAACATGTACCATATGACCTGCTCTTTAAAATAATCACATTTTGTTGCTTTGCAGCTGAAATGAAGATGGACACAGTTTTTGTTTTTATCCAGCTGTATTTACTCAGTGCAACTTATAACATCCAAGTGAAAGATATAACACCAACATGTCAGAAAAAACCCTCCAACAGAATCAATTATTTGGAAAAATGATTTGTGAACTCATTGTGTGCATGTGACAACACATTCTCCTCAAATGTGGCTTGTATGGGATGGCTGCAAGAAAAAAGCTACTCCTCAAGAAAGAGCAGATGAGACTAAAATTGGATTATTTGACATCAACACCAAACGATGTCTGGCGGAAATCCAATACAGCTTACCATCCAAATATCAGCATTCCTACAGTAAAGCATAGAGGTGGTGATATCCTGTTATGGGGTGTTTCTCTGCAGCAGGGACTGGAGCACTTGTCAGGATAGAAGGAAAAATGGATGGGGCAAAATACCGTCAAATTCTTGAGGAAAATCTGCTGCCCTCTGCCAGAAAGTTGTCAATGGAGGTTTACCTTCCAACATGACAATGACCCAAAGCACACGACAAAACTGAGCACACAGTGTTTGAAGGAGAAAAAGGTGAATGTCCTTGCATGGCCTAGTCAGAGCCCAGACTTAAACCCCATTGAAAATCTGTGGAATGACTTGAAGACTGCAGTCCACATACGGTCACTATCAAATTTAACTAAACTTAAGCAGTTCTGCAAAGAAGAGTGGGCAAATATTGCAAAGTCTAGATGTGTGAAGTTAGTAGAGACAAATCCCAACACAAGGGGGTGATCCTTTTTTGCAACTCGGTGGTTCTGTTTTTTTTGTTTTTTTTAAGTATTGGTGTTATATCTTTCACTTGGATGTTATAAGTTGCACTGAGTAAATAGCTGGATAAAACAAAAACTGTGTCTTCATTTCAGGCAGCAGAGCAACAAAATGTGATTATTTTAAAGGGCGGTGATTCTTTTCTATATCCACTGTATAAGGCTTGTAGAGACTTGATTGTCAGAGGGTTTAGATTTTTTTTTGTATGTTTTCCAATAGTATTCTAAAGCCTAATAGCCTCAGCTATTGATTGCTGGACAGACTGACAGATATATACACTGCAATATAACAAAGAGTGAAAAATTTAAGGGGGTCTGAATACTTTCCGTACCCACTGTATATATATATATATATAGAGAGAGAGAGAGAGAGATTAATCACCTTTATCACCTCTATTTATCACCTTATAGATAATCCTTGTGCATATTACGTTTATTTTTCTATCTGAGTTTAGCTCTATCATGCGTTAATCAACTGCGTGACTTCTGAAAATGATTCTGATTCAGTGAAAATGATTCTGATTCAGAAGAGAGTTTACTTTAACCCCGCCCCCATCCAGCTATACAACAGTACTACTGTTCGTCTGTCAGCAGATCAGTTTTCTGCTGTCTGCCCCGAGTGCGGATCTCAGTGTACGGCGTATGGTGGTCAATCTCTCCCCCTCTCCTCCCGGCGGATTAAAGGACTATGCCGCAGCACAATTGTTATTTTCCAATATTCTGATCAGATGAAGGAATAATATGCTCGACAGCTTAAAACTTAATCACGTTTCGTGAGCGGCGCCGTAAATAAAGCAACGCCAGAGGATCAGCGAAGCGCGTTCTGACCGACAATGTCGCGCAACGCCACCTGTTTTTCTGTCCTGTCGTGAAGCACGAGCATAGCTGCACTACAAACACACCGTCTGTGACTGTGAAAGGGAAAGAGAAAGAGACAATAATTGCCGATGGCGCATTTGTTTTTACCCATCATTCAAAGCTTGATTTCTGTAGATTTGTGCTTTTACATGTTTGGACAGTTGGGTTCTGTTGAAGCGCTCTCTGTGACAGGACATTAGTGATTTGGTGTCTTGAGTCAAACTGCTGAGAAGATTCGAAAAGATTCCAAAGAATCTTAAAGATTCTAAAGACTCTAAATAAACAGAAGATTCTAAAGATTCTGAGATTCTAAAACATTCTGAAGATTCTAAAGATTATAAAACATTCTGAAGATTCTAAAGATTATAAAACATTCTGAAGATTCTAAAGATTATAAAATATTCTGAAGATTTCGATGTGTATTTCAAAGATTGTAAAGATGGAAGATTCTAAAAAGTATTTGCTAAGATTCTAAAAGATTCATAACAAAAGATTCTATCAGATTCCAAAAGGTTCGGAAGACTCTAAAAGATTCTGAAGGCTCTGCAAATTGTAAAAGTTTAAACAGAAGATTCTGACCTATTCTAAACGCTCTCAGGACTAAATAAGTTCCAAGAAAGCGCGCAAGATCAGATGTCGTAACGCAATAACTGTTACGACGCTAAGAGCTCGTAGCAATGGCAGACTTACATCAGATATGAAATTGTAACTGCTGTATTCTAACATATAAATCCCAACGAGCATCCGTCTGTAATTTCATATTGCGCTTAAAGTGTTCAGCACTGCTGTTTTTACGCGTTCCGTGCACGGTTCTGTTACTTTAAACTGGATTTATCGCACGTGCGGACACTTTCAGCTTCGGACACATCCGCACAATTTAAGCTAAAAACGTATAAATATTGAATTGGATATTGATGGCATCCACGGAGAGGGTCAGGACCTTGGGGAGAGTTTGGCGAAGCTTGGCTCTCCTTTACGCACTGCTTATCTTTCTCTCCTGGCCGTGTGCGGTTGCAGGTAAGAAGAAACTGTACATCGGAGCTCTGTTTCCCATGAGTGGAGGATGGCCCGGTGGTCAAGCGTGTCTCCCCGCAGCCCAGATGGCTTTAGATCTCGTGAACAACCGGACCGACATTCTGCCGGACTACGAGCTGGAGCTCATTCATTACGACAGTATGGTAAGCACTTAACATTTTACATTTACAGTGCCCCTAATACATTAAGGTTTATATATATTGAAATAATATAAATATTAAGTACTTGTTGTTTTGCTCAGCATTTAATCATATAATTGCGTTCAAAATTGCAGTTGACATAATACTTCATCTGCATCAGTGATTAAGTTTCTCAGTGTGAAATGATCAGAACAGCTCCCACAAATGTGCAAAATGAATCAAAAATTAAAGCAAAAACAAACTGGCCCAGCACCAGCGTTATTTTAGTATAATTTAGGTATTATTATAGTTTTTATTATTTTGAAACAGTTTGAATTTTTTTACATTTACGGTTTTCATTTTCATTTTAGTTAAAGTTTTAGTAATTTTGTTGTGTTTTGTCATATGTAGTTGTTTTAGTTTTTTTTATGTCTATATAGTTTTCATTTTTAGTTAAGTTTTATTTTGAATTATTTTGGTACTTCAAGTTAAACTTAATTAAAATGAGAAATGTTTCCTTGGCGACTAGTTGAAAAAATATATATATTAAATTTAAGTTAGCGTTTATTTCAAAGATATTTTTATGGTTTTATTTTCAGTTGTAGTTAATAACCCTGCCAGCACATGCTTTTGTAGTGTTTTTAATTTTGCATGATATTAGCACATATGCAAACTTAATTATGCAATAGCATACAAAGTAAGTTACTGAATACTTGATGAAATGTTCTAATGTGTATCATGGCATTGCTACTGCAGATAAATTCCTTATTCTGTATGCGTTTAGTCTCCTAATCCCACTGTCATCTTAACTAGTTTAATTGCATTACGCCATCAGCAATAGTGTTTTTCAACCATGTAGGAATGAATGTTATACTTTTTAGGGGCTTTTGCTAAGAAAGAAGAAATGTCATTGCCCTCTTTACCTTCTGTTAATTTATTCAAGTATTTCACGTTCAAGGACTGAAACAACCAGATGTTAATTTAAGATGGTAGAAATTATCAGCGTTTTGCAGGTGCTTCACTGTTGTGGCAGTGATTGTATCTTGAGATTCAGGAGTTGGTGTCAAGTTGACATTGCAGTTGTTGGTACATTAATATTTCACAACTCACTGCACTTGGCTGTTATCAACAGCCTGTGAGGCTTCAGCTGCATAAAGTAATTTGGCTTCCTAAAAATACTCATGCACCATAAATGCTTATGCTTTCCTTTAGCATTGCAGAGTTTTCCAAGATCACCTCCAAAGTGGATTCCTCAGTGTATTTTGTTTATTTATTTTTAAAAAGGATTTTTTTTGTGTGTGTAATATGCATAAGTGGAGAGAGAATTTTTCTGCCTTTTGTGGAAAGGTGATTGTCCTGAGTTTCAGTTCTGTCAGCAGCCACAAATAACAGTGCTGTCAAACCATTAAACCATTTATATCCTCACATATGTCAGTGCTGGTTTGATATCTAAAACGTATGATAGTAAATGTGTGCAAATATGTGAGATCTCTCTTACTGCCAATGAATACGCACTTTCAGAAGTTCAAAGCGGGGCAGTTTAGTTTCCCAGTGTGGTGTGACGATGCTGAGCTCCTGTAGGTGAGGAAACCGTTAAAGAGTGCTTTAAGTGGACAGAGATGAGTTGTATCATGGTTCTGATTGGTGAACCGCACTCTGCATTGCAATCGCACTCAATATAGAGGAAGAATCAGGGAGAAGAGGGTTGGCATGGCAACAGCCACCAGTGAAACCACAGTTCAAACAAACTTGCATCCCTGTAGATCCTGTAAGGATAAGGAGGTCCTTCTGCAGACTCCTGTGTATCTGCAGCACCTGTCTGACCACTCACGATTGAGTGTTGTTGAATGGTAACGATAATCTGTAATGTGTGAAGATAATCATTGTAGACCCAGTTAGTTCGTTAAACCTCCTGTTGGCTTAAGAAACTGCATCTGCACCTGTGATTCTTGAGTTGAATTTGACCCACATTGAAAAGCATTTATAAATCTTAGGTACTAATATTTAGGATACAATGGGTGTATTAGGGATATTTCTTCTGATCCCAAAATGTGTTATGTTAAAAAAAATAATATTTATTGAGTTATACAATTTGTGTGGAAAAGAGAAAACTACATCTAAAGGGCCTTTATTGTTGGGTCAAATTTGAAAGTCCATAACTGTTTATTGAAATATGGGTTCAAATTTGAAAGATAGAGCCCTTTTAAAAATGACAATTAATAATTAAATAATAAATACCTTTTTAATTACACATTATTTATTGTATTAAATGTATTTTCTTTACACAAAATGCATTTGTGTTGTTTTTAGTCTTGCATGACAATTTGCCAATGCATTTGGATTAGAGATCATATTAGCACATGAATACTTAATTATGCAAAGAGCGTACAAAGTAAGTTACTGAATATAATTGCTGAAATATTTTAGTGTATTTCATGCCATAATTAGATAAATTTCTTATTCTATATATCTTTTAATCTCCTAATGAGATGTGATCCCAAAATGCGTTATGTAAAAAAAAAATTATATTGATTGAGTTAAAGAGATTTAATAAAGAGAAAATTACCTATAAAGGGCCTTTGTAAATATAAAATATTTTGGGGTCAAATATGGGGTAAAATTTGACAGTTGGAAAAAAAAAAAATGAAACTGAAATTTTATGAAACTTTAATTTTTGAATGATTGTAGTATGTTTTATGTAAAAAAAAAAAAATAGGATGAAAGGGTTTAATTGTTCTTTTCCTTTTTACATACTTCAGAATAATAGCCAAGTTTGGTTATCAGGGTACGTTTAATCATTTACCTGATACTTCCATCCAAAGTGACTTTCAAATGACAAAAAGCACAAGCAATTTATCATACAAAAGCGAGTAATATTAACAGAACTGCAATAATCTTGATTTAATTCACCTTAATTCATGATTTAATGAAAATGCTATTTACAATTCCAGTTGTCATTAACTGCTTTCTAGAAATGTCGCCATTCCACCCATGTCTCAAGTCTCTTTTAATTTAGCATTAATCTTAATAAAAATCTAAGGCTTATTGCAGGTGCACAAGTAGAAGAATGCAATATCAGAAGGGCCAAGTGTGACATTGTATAAATGTCATGTGTTAGTATGCCGTGGAGATGGAAGAGCAGGTGTGAAGTGCTCAGACTCGTTGACATTTAAGCCGACAGATATTTTGAGCTTTCGGGTGTCAGAAATATAATTACAAAGGGAGAAAATCAAATTTGATGTGGGTTTTGCATTTAATTATTGTTCAAAGAATCTCAGGCATGTTTGGGGCATTCTTTTAATCTTTCTCAAATAGCCAATTATCACGCAGAGCAATGTTTGCATAGAAACATGTAAGTTACCTCAAAATTCCAATTTCATTTGACATTTGATAAATATTTATTTCATAAATGAGTGTTATTATAACCCCTGCCTTGCTCTGACAGCCGAACACAGATCTTCTAAGGATTTTCATTTTTTCCTTCCTTTATGATGTCAAATTTAAAATGACACTTTGGACTAGGGATGCACCGATATGAAAATTTTGGCCGATACCGATAATGAAGGAAATAATGCATTATTTATCGGCTTTAAGATATCGGCCAAATTTTCTTATCGGGCCAATACCGATAACAGAAAAAATGAGCATTTATCGGCCGATACCGATATGGTGGCTGATATATCGTGCGTCCCTACTTTGGACATTTGTTTTATAGTAAACCAAGACTAAATAGATTTTTACTTTTTATGAAGAAAATGCGAGGGCTGCTTGTCCATGCAAATCTTGCTGACATGATGCTGCGGTATTTGGTGGTCGCTAGGGTGTTGTGACTGGTTGCTAGGGTCAAAATAACCCACCGCTAAGTTTCTGTGATATTCTAAATATGGCTCAGGTTCTTTCTTTAGTGTAAGCCTATGGGATTTTCCACCCCCCACATTTTATCATCTGCCAGGCAAAAATGGTAATATCAAAGCTCTATTTGATAAGCCGTATGATTTGAGGCATCATTTACTGTATATACAAACAGCATGGAATTACACAACAAATTTAATATTTAGCTTGTTTAAAATATGAGAAGAGCATTAAAATATACCGGTAATAATTACTGTTGTCACTAATCAAAAGACCTGTAAGTTTTATTTTATCAGTCAGATACATAATGGAAATTATTAGCAACAAAGAAGGAATGGGATCAGACCACATTAAATTTGAACTGAGAAAAGAAGCAGGATACAGAATTGAAATTTGATTTTTGAATCTAAGGAAGTAGAATTATTATTATTATATATTAAAATATATTTAAAATATATATTGTAATATATAATTTTTTTTTAATAAAATTTATATTAAATTCAATTAGCTGAACGTCTTTTGACTAACTTATATAGGACTTAAGTGCAATTTTATGTGTAATTTCATAATTCTACTGTATTTGAAATATGGTTAAAGTGTATTGCTGAATGTACTGACAAGCATTTATGGTTAACATCCTAATTCGATAGCACTTTATTTTACAATCCTGTTCCTCATACTATGTACTTATTAAAGTAATTACTATAACTAGGTAATAACTATAGGTACTAACCCCGAACCTAACCCTACCCCATGTAGTTACCTTACATTACCAGTACTTTCTTAGGTAAGTACACTGCAAGTACACATACTGTAAAATAAAGTGCAACCCATAATTCTATTGTCTTTGAAATATGGTTAAAGTGTATTGCTGAATGTACTGACAAGCATTTATGGTAAACTAAATAATACAGCATTAGCATGTACATCTATGTAGAATGATACAAAATTGCACATTTCATAATAAAAATGAATAAAAACACATCTGACTTTCGGTTCATGCTATGATAGTGGTCAAAAATGGAAATCTCAAAGATACGGTTATAGGCGTTGATGCCAGAAGTTGTGGTCCATCTTGTGTGTGTGTGTGTTTTAGAGCAGATATTTACAGGAACCCCCTTGCACAGATGCACTATCCCTCTCCAGATGGTTGCCATGGTTATATCAAAGCT